ACTGGTGTAAGACACAAAGATTGGAGTCTGCCTTTTACCCAGGATGCACAGCAGAGTGAGATTCAATGTAGAGTTGGTACATACAAATAACCATATATATATGACACAAGATAGTTATAGAAGTTCACAGAACTGACTCAGCAACAGCTGAGTAAAACTGTTTCAACTGAGCATGTGGCACTTTAAGCATTATCGTATCGCATATCGAATATCGCAGTATTTAATGAGTTATCGCATATCGCATTTTTCTTCAATATCGCACAGCCCTATTAAATACAATAAGTAAAAATACAAAATATTAAAAGAAATGATTATAAAATAAATGTTACTTTTGTAGAATTAAGTGCTGTCAAAGTTAATGCAGTTAACACTGCAGTATCTCACTTAAAAAAATAAAATAAAATAAAAATGAATGCAGGTTCTATATGACCCTATCAACCGTAGTGCCAGCCCGGGTTGCCAGGTCCGCGGTTTACCCCATTATTCCCCTTCCATCCAGTAATCACAAAGAGCTTTGTGCTTTGTTAGTCTCCACTCTTGAATTCTGCCCATCTTATCACAACATTCAAATGACAAATGCCTTTTTGACGCTTTTAAATGTGGCGTGACAGAACCCTGTGTATTATATTTTTTTAAAATAGCAGTTGTATATAATAGTTTGGGCTCTGTTGTTAATTGTACCCTTTAATGTACCAAATGACAAGGTTTCCTGTATAGTTTACAGCCCGGGTTGCCAGGTCCGCGGTTTACCCCATTATTCCCCTTCCATCCAGTAATCACAAAGAGCTTTGTGCTTTGTTAGTCTCCACTCTTGAATTCTGCCCATCTTATCACAACATTCAAATGACAAATGCCTTTTTGACGCTTTTAAATGTGGCGTGACAGAACCCTGTGTATTATATTTTTTAAAAATAGCAGTTGTATATAATAGTTTGGGCTCTGTTGTTAATTGTACCCTTTAATGTACCAAATGACACGGTTTCCTGTATAGTTTACAGCACTAGTCAATTACTATCAGTGGCGAAATTTAGTATCGTGCATCCCTAATATATATATTATTATTAGGGTTGCAAAGGGGAGGAAATTGCCAAACTTTTCTGAAAGTTTCCAAAAATTCCCATAAAGTCTCCAAGATTTTGGATTTTCCTTTTTACAACCCTAAACTATTATTATTATTAAACTATTATAAAACTATTATGAAGAATAAGAATGTAAATGTCATTCTAAATGTCATTCTACCAATTAAAAAAAAAAAACTCTATACCTTCTGACAATCTGAGCAGCCAATAAGGTGTATAATGTATGACCTCACTGACAACAGCCCTCGTCCCACAGCACTAAAGTAGGTGACCTGTCGAAAAATAGGGCCTGTTCTTATCGCCAGACAACAGGCATGTCACAGTCTGTGTGCCCTGAGCTCTAAAGCTGGAGCAAACCATTTCACTCAGTGTAAATAAGCAAACACAGGTTTGCAAAAAAAAACACAGAGACTGTGAGTGTGTGTATGACACTCAGGCTAACAAAACCTGCACACACAAAGCAAATACGACCTTAAACATAGGCTGGCCTGGTTTCGTTTTCCAGTGTTGTTCTGCATGTCGGTGACAGCGGGCATAGTGGCATCAGGCAGTAAGAGAGCAGCACGTCACACTGTGCTCAGCCATGTCTGACCGATCCCTACTATTCTGTCACATCTAATCACATCCATCGGCTAGAACCAGCAGCTTCTGCGGTGCCACACTTGCCCCATCTCTTCTACTATACTACTTGGCAGAGCAGAAGTTCATGGCAGTTTCTCAATGCTACAGCCAAGTCAAGTCAAAGTTTCACTGATGGCACAAACATATGGGAAAAAGCCACAGCAATCACTTGTTATTTCATCATTTACTCACTCTCACAAAATGAGATCCTTTGAAAAAGACCAAAAAAGTTGGAAGACCAAAAGTTAGGTTAGGAATGCTAAAGGCAGCAGAACAGATGTATGAGTCCTGTTTGAGTCAATAATATGGTTGTTGTTGTTTTTACGGTAGTGACAACCGCATTCTGTTATAACCAAACTCACACCACATTTTCTGGACTTACAATCATATTTTTGGCAAAGCCCTGCTGTGAGAACATAACCTGACTGGCCAACTAGTTTTCTGTCATAAAGTGCGAGAGGCACTCTGCCGTACACATATTATTGTGTTTAGCATGTCTTCGTGCAAGGTTTGGATAACTTACAGAGACGCAGAAATGAGCTGTGTGTCATCTGAAGATCCAGTCTCTGTCTTCCAATGGAGCTGCTCCAGACAGTTTTGTGATCTGAGCATGACTAAAACGCTCTGCTCAATACAGAGGTATGAAAGCTGTGGTTGGTTAATTAAGATTTAACGGATGAAACTTGAACTTTTGTCGTGTGAAGTGTGATAAGACTTTGCAATTTTGGATGGCGTTATCTTTAGACATGGGCTATGGTGACAGGTGATTGTCACAAACAGAATACAGGCTTGACTTCAGTTGCACATTCATAAAGACAGTGCTCAGGCCTCTACTGCCAGCTGCTGTGTGAACAGGACATTTCAAAACTCACATCTATAAGTAAATGTGAATGTAGCCAGCCAAATTCATTTTTGGGTGAACTATCCCTTTAAATTGGCCTCAGTTTCATGAAACAATCATGAAACAGCATTTGCAATCCACTTTTACACTCATAATGTGCCTTATTTCTGAATAAAACTGAATATTTAACAAGGCAAAAAATTACTTGAAAGATGATTTTACCCATTAGCCGGTAATCAGAGGTTTAAAAGAGGGCATTTTACAGAACCAATGTAAAAGCCAACAGCCTGCACAACCTAGGCGATGCCAGCAAGAGGAGCATGTTATTACATTTTGATGAAAAAATTTAGAGACAAAATTTTCCCCCTAAATTATGTGTGCTGATGATTTAGTGCACAATAACACCTAGAAATTATACTAAAGGGATAGTTCACCAAAAAATGAAACTTGTATGATGTATCATTCTTCTGTGAAAAATAGGCCCTAAAAGATGTTTTTTGAGAAATATCTCAGGGTGTGTCCCAATTTGTGTGCTTATGCACTATCCTATCCTACACACTATCTGCATTATGAGTAATGCGTTCACACTTAAAATTCCAAAAAGATAAATACCCAGATCATGTACTTAATATAAAATTCATACACCAGAGAGTACCTTGTGCATAGAGTACAGTGCGTCATTAGGAACATACAATGGAAGTCAAAGGTCACCAATACTCTTGATTACCAACATTCTTCAAAAAAATCTTTTGTAATGTTTCACAAAAGAAACAGGTTTGGAACAACATGAGGTAGAGTAAAGGATGACAGAATTTTCATTTTTGAGTGTAAAGAAAGTAAATTAGTTTTTTTTTATATTATTAATGTTGACTATAACATTCTCTAAAAGCAGTCATTCATAAGCTAATGAAGCTACAAAACTCCACCCATCAGCATTGGCATTATGTAAAAGAGAGAAAGACAGAGGCAGAAAGAGGCCAGGCAATATGAGCAGTGAGGTGTGGCTGCACTTAAGACACCGGAGAGCTCAGAGTGGAAGAAACTGGACGAAAGCTGAGAGGGGAGCTTGAGAAGGTACTGGCCTGCAACATCACCGCAGAGCTGAGGACTGCCGTAACATTCCCACATGCTCTCTATGGAGAAAATGGACTTTGATGGGAAGACAGAAGAGGGTTTATAACAGAATTTAAAGCAAACATCTGGGAAAAAAATATCTCAGCTTGTAACAGGCCACCTGTGAGCTTGCATCAGAATCTGTTAGTAAGATTATAGCTGGCAAATAGCAGTCACGACCACTAAAGCACTAAAATGGATATGCACCATGCCACCGAAAGGGAATGAGAATGCAGTTTGCTCTCAATGTTCAGATCAAATACAACTGCACACAACCACAACAAAGTGATAGTGTTGGATCTGCTTGTATTAAAGTTGCGATTAAATGGAAATAGCAAGCAGCACATCTTTTCTTCTGTATTGTGGCTTACATCCGAGTGCAATGGATTAACAAAAAAAAATGTAGGGCGGCACTTGGTTCTATGCATCAGTTGTTGATTCACTGGAAGATCGAGTTATGACGTTCTGATTAAATATCAAGAGGACAAAACATTTTCAAATAATGAAACATGCACAGATTAATTGTTCACAATAAGATCTATAACATGCATTTAGAAAATAAATGGTGAAATTTCCACTTCGTCTTTAAAATCTGACCATCATTTTAGTCCTTTACACATTAATTCTCATGTTATTTACAAAACATAGCCTTCCCTGTGAGCACCAAAACACATACATGTATAAGCATTTTAAGTGAACACCCCCCCAAACAAAACGGAGAGACCACCCACTTGAGCAGCTATTATGGTTACAGTCACCTGGTTACAAGCTGAAGAAAAGATATTGGTAGAAACTGCTTTCACTTGCTTAATGGTAGAGTATCACTTCTAGCTGCATAGTCCCTGTGGACACATAATAGGGTACTATATACACTGTTTCAGGATGAACCATTATAAAACAGGTGGATATGTGGAACAAAGGCATCACAGTGTTTATCTGTAGCATCATTAAAAAGCAGGTACACATATATAGGTTAATCTCTCCTGTATAACATCTTACACAATGAAATACTACGGTGACAGTATCAGACCTGCTGATCAGTTCAACTCCACACTGGTTTTCCATTCATGCATTAATAATGGTTTTGGTCAAGGACACATGGCTGAATAGTGATTCGCCGGATATCAAAGCACAGTGAGCTGTCAACCTAAACAGGGTCTGTGCATCGTTCATTTCAATCGTGATCAAATACGCTGTCTAAATAGGTTGTGACACCCATCTACGGCTTTCCTCCCGGTGACTCAGGACCGTGAACCATGAGAAACCTGAACCCTGCCGCGCACAGGTGATCAAAACATCAACCGCGAGTTTATAACAGTAGCTGAGGAGATTTTAGATCATCTCACCTTTGGCTTCGCAGTCGGCGCAGTATTTGTTATCATCCTCTCTCAGCATTTTGGACAGAATGGCCTGATGCTGCTCGTTCAGTTTCTGAGCCTTTTCCCTCTCCGATCGCGTCGTCATCTCGGCCCGATTTCTGTCTAAGTTTCTGGATAAAATCACCTGTCTTGCCCCCGATTTACTTTGTTCAATTGTATCGTTGTAAATGGAAGACCATCCCCTGTGAAATGAAGCTATGGTGGGCTCACTGCTACGGAGCGGCGACTGGGTTGAGACAGATCGGCGGAATATGGCCGATTGGAGGAACTGGCCGGAAACGGAAACGGAGACGAGGAAGATACGGTGAGCCGATTAAAATCGAATTAAGAATTAAGTGGGAACTGGGAGAACGTATAATCAAATTTAAGTGGTAGGCCTATATTATTTTTATATCGATTTAAAAGTCAGACCTATGCTTTGTGAAATGTAAATAGAAGAGGGCAATGTGACTTTTACGTCATTGCTGACGTATGTATGCGTTGGACAGCCGGTTTGACGCGTAATATGGAATTATGATGTTTAAATCATATCTTACATAGGCCTATTCTACTTAGAATGTTATCATTGGCCAAATGTTTAGGCTAAATCCTGCTGAATAGACTAGTTTAGACAAAAGCTATTTTAAAAACTGGGTGACAAATCAAATCTAAATTTGCTAAAGTATACTGTCTACATTTTAAAACGCGACAATAAACTTTTAAATAATTAAATAATGAAATTGTAAATTTTATTTTAAACAAAAATTTTAAATCATGCAAAGTTTTAGCCACTTAATTATTTTACATAAACAACCAAATCTAGGCAAAATGTATTAAATACAAAATACATTCTATGAGAAAAACTAAGAAATATTATGTCAGAATTATGATATTGTTCAGCAATGTATAACTTATTTATTGAATGTGCCTTCAGGATTTATAATACCCTGCAAGATATCAGCCAAAATACCATCATTTGTTTAGTTTTGTTCTCTTTGTAGAGTTATTATAGTAAAACCATGGTAAATGTTCATTTAAATGCTGATCAGGGGTGCGTTTCCCAAAAGCAACTGTGGTCAATTACCATCGTTGCCAACAGAATTCAATGGAACTAATGACCATAGTTAGCTAACGATGGTTTTGGGAAACACACCCCTGGCTGTCTCTCCCAGACTTGCTGATGTGCCCTAATAATGCATTTAACCTCTCCTTAAAAGCTGATATGGTCGTGCTTATCTGTAACAATCCATGTTCAAATACATAGGAAAACTTTTGCAGTAATAACTTTTTTTTTTCCACAAAATAAAACTGACTCATCATTTACATGATCACAAACACATGTCATTGTGACAAAACTATACAAAAAATAAAAATAAAAATATTGCGTTGAATATGTTTATTCTTTGAAGAGATCTTTCAGGCCTTGCAGACATTTGTGTTACACACTTACAAAGAGAATAAAAACATTAGATTGCCAATAGCGGATTCTTGTCCATTAAAGGCTGAACAGAACCGTTCAAGTAGTTCAAACTACTTTTACACAAACTATTCATTCTACATAGTAGGCCCATACAATCAGGAAACACTTACACATTTCTGGTCCAGAAATTCTCTTTTTCTATCTGTATGCAGAAGTATTAATTACATTCAAATGCTAAATAAATAAATTTGGATATTTTTAACAGGGCAAAAACTAAAAGTCAATACAACGTCCCTTCCTCTCCCAGTCACCATATTGTGTAGGTTCAGGACCACTGGGACCACCTTTCTCCTTAGTTTCTGGATTCACATCATCTGGAAATCCTGTTAAAGGAGAAATGAAATATAATTTCATATTAATTGTATAAACTTAAATACATTTAATTAGTCACTTATTTATTTATTATTTCTGAGCTATAGTTCATGTGTAGGCTATATCCTTTCGATAGATACCCTCTGCCCTTTTATGTAATTCATTGTACAAATAATAGCCTATAACTGTATAACAGAAATGACGTGTGTTCTTACGTTCTAAAACATCTTTAGATTTTGACTCGGTTTCGTCCATGTCAAATCGTCCTTGGGGCGTTTTCGCTTTCTTTAACGGTTCTTTATCTTTGGTCACACCACCAGATGCATATCCTGCTGTCCAATGACATGCTGTAGAGGAGAGCAGCGATACATTTTAACAAATCTGTCACAAATTGACATGTATTTCCTAAGACTCGAACACGATTCTGAGTAATCAATATAAAGGATGTTTAGGAAATATGCATATTACTATGACATTAATACAAATCAATGCATGTTGTGCAAGCATGTCAATGAACAGTTAAAACAATAGGTTGCACTCACCAGTATAAGTCGACTCTAAAAACAATCCTCTCTTTACAAAACCTCTAGCCGTAGTACAGCAAACACGTAAAAGAGACATTTTGCGTGGACCCTGTACTAATCTGTTGTGAACTTTTCCCTTGTCGCAGCAGAAATTTACACAACTGAAGAACGTTTTGACGATTGAAAATGACGATGCATGCGTCATCATTTAGGGACACAAAATACACTCGAGAGGGTCGCGGCGGCGCTAAAGAAGTGCAGAACCGAATGTTACTAAATTTACATGTAGCCTATCTGCTTTGCATGCAACTTTTCAAAGCGAAGAACAGATGAGAGAAACATTGTGAAAACCAGTTATAAAATACTACAGAATAATAGTTAGATTTCCTGTGAGACATAAGCGGTAAATGGCTAATTTTACAGAACTCAGAAAATTACAAAAATACTGTTTTTGATGGTACCATGCAAATGCTATATAAAAATGACAAGCTGAAAAAATATGATAGCCTATATTAGACATGACGGCACAAACAACTATATGGACAATTTATGAATTATCAGTTAGCCTAATTAAAGTACATTTATTTGATGGAATGTGACGTGATTTTTCTTAATTGCATTGAAATACAAAAAGAAAACAAAAACTCTTCATCGTGCAATGAATCTGCAATAGGCCTACTGTTTTGATAGACATACATTTTATTTAGGCTACGTGCGCTCGCAAAAAAGAAAAAAGAAATGAAAACTAATCACTATTCGAATGTCTTGTCTGTTTATTTGCATATTATTAATATATGCCCGACATTATAAAATGTGTCAAATACAATATGAAAATATAGGCTACGTGAGTCAAAATGCACCCTAATGTAAATAATAATAATAGGCTAATAATAATAATAATGATAATAATAACTTAATAGTAATAATGCAACAATTGGGAAATGCACAGAGTGCACTTTATTTCCAAAATATTTCACACTTTTATAGAGTTAGCGTAGCCTTATTATTGTCAGGGCCTCAGATGTATCTTCTGAAAATTGTAGGATATTCCTCATATTAATAGCATATAGCCTACTGTGGGAAATACTGCCAAACTAGTAGGTTAGGCCTAAATGTAGTTAGGACCTAGCCTATATGCAACTATCACGGAGTCACATTCTTTTAAAAATTATAATGTTTTTAAAACACTAGGCTATTAAGATATGTTTATATGTTATATTAAAGCCTTCATAAAATCAACCTTTTCGTCTGTCGTGTCATTTGGAGCTCATCACGTATAAGGAGATGGCTCTATTTACCCACGTTCGTGTACTTGCGTTAGTAGTTTCTGACCTAAATGACTTCTATCTCTTAGCATTCTGGAACATTTTAAACGACACTTATGTAACACATTATAGATTTCGGAAGAGATGATGAAACTTAAACCACCCTCCGATGCATTGCTGGATAGCCTACGCTTCTGGTTATTTTCAGGAACACCATCACATCTGCACATAGTTATCATAAACACACTTTTGCACTCTCCAATAGAAAAGAAAAAAAAAACATCCATTTATCATGCAACCAAAACTGTCATTCACTTGAGTAGAGATTCATCACAGATAAGCTATCTGGGATCTATCCATAATGACAAAACCTGCGATGTGTTGCTATTGCCTATTATTCAGCAAAAAGCGCTAAACAATTCGAACAGTTAGAATGACCCAGTCTTAGACATTACCACAGATATTTAATCTTTCATATCAAGCTATAATAAAATATATTTTATATAGGTCACGCCGACATCACCGAAGAAAGTGAAGGACAAATAAAAAATCTTGTAATTACATATATTTCAAGTAAACGAATAATAAACATATCAGTGCTACCAAGTTGATGCCTTTTGATGTTGGTTGTGTAAAATGAAAATTCTGACAAAAACTGTATAGACTGAGCATTGATATTTCGTCTTTGTCTCTTTAATTTCTAAGAATGGTTGGAATATTTGGGGGGGGGGGTCACTGCTTCTGAGGGTTGCCGACAACATTTAGCCTAAGTGTAATACAGAAAAGTTAAAATTTACAAATAATGTAAAAAGAACTACATATTTGCTAACGAAGAATCTTTTTGTAACGTCAACAACATATTTCTGCAACAAGTGCTGTAGCAATTTATATCACGCCTCTGAAAAAAATATTTTATTTCACAGGACTATTTTTGCTGCAAGTGTTCATTAACAAACGTGCAAATCCTCCAAGTAAACCTAAGATTGTGAGAAAAAAAAAACAGCCTAGGCCTATCGAAAAATCAATTGGTAACACTTTATTAAAAAAAACTTTATCATGACAATATGTAATGCTCATCAGCTTATTATTTGAATGCAGTTAAAACAGTAAATTAGTTAAAATAAAGCTTTGATTAGCAATAGCATGACACCCATTCGTCTAGGCTACGAACGTTCGTTCTTTACTTACAGGCGTTTAGCAAAAGTGCACATAACACAGGAACACGCTTTACGCGCTATATCCGGTGCCTCTTCATCAATTATAGCTTTTTACCCATAATCGCCTATTTAAAACTATTAAAATAGCCTAATTTTTAGTTTAAAATAGATATTTAAATTTAAAGGAATTTAAAATTAGAAATTTAAATTCCAAGTACCCATATAAGTAGATTAACTATAAATTTGTCAGTGTTTTAAGTAGCCTACAACACTTCTAGTGCCTTTACTCACTGAGGGAATCACGGCTGTAAACTGTCAGATGGTCTGTGAGTTTAATCACCGTCATTTTGGCAAGGAGGTCCTCAAGCATACGATTTCATTTTCACTTGTTTGCGGGTTTAAGAGGTGCAAGCTTCTCAGGGTGTGCTTGGAGACAGTGGGGTCGTATCTTTTCACCCTGCATGTGTCTAATCCTGACAATGACAAGGATATTAATTATAACGAGGCTCACAGTATATGCATGCACAACAGAAAGGTGGCGTTTTGCTTTAGATATTCAACAAATCAAGCAGTGGTCTGCTTGGTGACAGTAATCCGGTGTGTCCTTACGATTTATTTAGCATAATTCTGGGCACTATTTGATATGTGACGATTCTTTTAATAGTAGGTTTACTTAAATTAATAGCCTATTGGGGAAACAGCCCATAGTTCTACGAATCATCGTACGTTCGTTTTGTTTGTTAATATTTTATTTGTAGCCTAATATTTTGTGACTTATTAATGAAATTTATTATAAAGTGTTACCACAAACGTTAGGCTATTGGAAGTGTACAAAATAAACTTAATGTTTGAGAGACAAACGAAATACGACAGTCTTTTATGTTTACATTTTGTTGAAATCGAAATGATAAAATCAATAAAACAATATAGTCCTACTGCACGACTGTAACAGAGAGCATCAAGTATTCTAGTTGTTTTATACAAGCTGCATCTTAGGTACAAATGAAGACTGATTTTACGTTAAAAACAAGAAAGTAATGTGATGCTGAGATATTCCTCTGTACATCGCACGTCCATAAAAGTCTCTTAATCAGTGTTGGGAACGCTACTGATTTTTCCCGTGTTCTCAGTCCAGGGCTGGAGGTTCTGAAGTGCGAATAGAGAGCTGTTGTGTAGGCAGATTGGGTCCGGAGTAACAGATTGGTTTATAGTCTTTTGAAAAGCTTCTTGCTGAAGTTGCATAAGGATTCGGTTCGCTTGCTGTCGCTCGGCTTCTCTCTCCTCTGCTGTCTGCCGCCTGCATGAATTTGGATCATAGCACAGGAGTCATTTAGTCGGTGATTTCAGTCATGATTTCTAACAGCCGTTTTAGTTAGTGCACTGAAAAAAATGATACAAATTTGTTTTTATGGTAAGTGGTTACAAACAACTTATTTTAGCTACATTTAAATAAAAAAATAGCACAGGAGTCATTTAGTCGGTGATTTCAGTCATGATTTCTAACAGCCGTTTTAGTTAGTGCACTGAAAAAAAATATTTTTTGGTAAGTGGTTACAAACAACTTATTTTAGCTACATTTAAATAAATAAAAAAGTTAAAAGTTAGTCAACTAAATTTGTTTATTTAAATGTAGCTAAAATAAATTGATTGCAACCACTTTACCTACATTTTTTATTAGTAAATTCAATAAATAATTTTTTTTTCAGTGTGGTTGACTAAATTTAATCAAAAAATACAAACCGGTGCTCCTATAATAAAGAATACACAATTAGTCTACTATTTTGGCATAACTGGTAGAATTACTTAATAACGTGGATTTTTCAAAAGAATTGACACACCTTAGGCCTACATCGTGATGTCAATTGAACACTTGTTTCATAAACGTTCCATTCTTTTTGTTTTTGTCATTAGTTTGGAATTCACTCAGATTAGGTATCTACGTGGAAATCTTATGGTTTGAAATTGCATATAGGCATATACGTTGAAAATGCAGATTATATATATATATATATATATGCAAATTATTATACATTGTATTCAAAATCACGATCATTTTCATTTATTTTTCATAAATGTCTGTGCACTTCAATTGTTGTGATTGTGATAAATTATTTTGGTAGCGCATAAACGTCATCACATCATTTATCCTGCTTGTACAGCATGTAATTAACCTTCTAACACAACTAAGACTTTAGGGAAACATTTGTTGCAGTACAACAGAACTTAATTTATGTCGATTTCTAAAAACTCGATACTGGCCCATCAGTGTCTGCTAAAATGACTTTAGGTCTGCTCAGTTCCAGACCAGGCCTAAAAGGTGGAATAAAAAATACATTGGCAGAAGTGCATATTTAAAAATATAACCTGTTTACACTGTCAAGAAGCAGGCCACAGTCAACCAATATTGGTCATTCCAAACTAAATAGAGTCAGTTAAACATATATTGATGTATTGATTGAATTAGCTATTATATACTGAGTGAACTGCATGAACATGCCTTCCAACGCACGATATGGAATGCATTATGCAACTGACCTAACTGACCTCATAGAGGTCGTTAAAACAAAATACTCAACTGGGTTTAGTGGTGAGACGAAAAAGAATGCATTACGTGTGAGTGTAAACGCATGATTAGATCACAAAAGCTCACCTCCATTTCGTTCTTCTGTTCTGGAACCATGTTTTGACCTGCGCATCAGTCATTTTAAGTGCTTTCGCTAAGGCTGCCCTATACGGCGTGTTACTGTGAATGGTGAGAGGGCCACTAGATTGAGAGACAGAGTGAAAGCAAGCGGAAGAAATCAGCAAAACGACAGAGCCAAGCAGTGAGAAGCAAATGAGACTTCCAGTGATGAAAGATGACTTTTGTACTTTGAAAAAACATGCAACAATCACGAAATATATCGAATAAGTTCAGCCAAGCGAGCAAATAGACAAGAATATATATAGGCTAATTGAGGAAAAAATACTTTTTTAGCATTTTCTTATTACGACGACTGTGTGAAATGTAATAAATAAATAGCCTAAACACACACACACTGTAAACATGTTTTGTCAGTTATAAGAAATGTGCCTCATATGGTAACATCTAAATTAAGTGATTTCATTCGAGTCGAAAATATTATTTATTTGGACTGAATCAACCTGATTACATCAGGTTACATCGGTGAAGTCAATTTTTAAGGGTCAAATCAATAGCTCATTAAGGTAACAACAGCACATTTTTACTTTTTACCGTTTGTAATTCCTTTAAATAATAATGCTAAAACAGTAATGAGCATGTGGAACATTTACAGACGTGATAAATCAACATTGAAGTTCTCATGTGAGAAAAAAAGTCTTTGTCTTTGACAGGAAAACATTTGTATGGATATTAATTTTTAAGCTACTTTTCTTTGGCCTACGATACATTTGTAGTGATTGTTATTGTGTATAGAAATGTTCATGTTATTAATTCGCTGGACCAGTTTAATTTTCTTTTTGACAACGTTATAAAAACAACTTAAAAAGGAAACTTTAATTTTAAGATGTTTTTATAACGTTGGCAGAAACAAAATCAAAAAAATATTTAATGGAGTGGCTTTAACAATGAAGCCCCTGTGAATTATTTTAGTTCATGTATTTTAAAAATTAATAAAAATTTAAAAAGTGTAATTGCTCCCTAAAAATTGTAAGTTGAATTAAAGTTGTGACAAGGTTACAATTTACAATAAGTTTTTCGACCGCTTTGATCACTGAATTGCTGATAAGATCACAACACGATGAAAACATGTTTACAGTGCAATTTCTAACAAGAACGCAGATTCAAATAAAGCATATACCACTGCAAAGTTCAGAGAGATTTCTGTTACCTGTAAATCTGTCTTTGGTATATCTCCTGTTACTCTCCATCCAAGGAAACGATAATCCCGTGAGATTGTTAATGGTGCCCATGCTTCCCATACTTGGCACCGTGGCAGCGCTGGTGGGAATGGACGAGTGAACACTGCTCAGCGGCCGGTGCGCTGGAACCCGGATCACTCCCGAAGAATTAAGGCAATTCCCATTAACATTCGTGCCCAAGTTCATGTTGTACGAGCCGTTGAGGGAGCCAACGCTGCACGAGTTTCCATTGTATCCAGCCGAGTTATTGACATTGTAGTTGCCAGTCATGGTATTATAGGCTGTGCTGACTATGCAGCCCAAACCGTAGTCCAGGTCTTGCATTCTGGGGTTGGAGATCATGCAGCTCCCCTGGTCTGCATTGTTAAGAATCTGATCGATCCCAAAACTGATGGTGTCTGCGTGCGTCTGGTGGAGAAATGCCTGATCCATGGTGTGGAGAGGCGCGCGCGCTCCTGCGAGCCTACAGGATCCTCCACGTCACCCCAGTTATCATACAGCAACTAAAACGCAGTTTAGTCCAGACTTATCGTTATCTAATAGCATTGACTGCATGTGTGAGAAGGACTGAACTACAGACGATTGTCTTTTTTACTGCCTCCCTTTACCCTTATAGCTATAGCCTGCCGGATGGAGCCACGGGAACATCAATCAAAATGCCAAAGAGGCTGGGTAAAATTAAGCCTCCGATTCTGGGGTGAGAGACCCAATTGGCTAAAGAAACCACGACGAGTCTGTTCAATGAAACGCACTGGAATTCCCTTCTCAGCAGGGCAACTCAAAGAGATGATTTATTAAACCAAACACCAACGATTTTTCAAAACAACACAAAAATGACAAAAATTTCAATTACATCATTAACTTGGCTATGCAGTCTCTGTTGCTGAGATATTTTCTCGTTGGATACTTTTGATCATGCGAAGATGAGGCTGTGATTTCGAGGTCAAGTCGTTTTCACTCTTTTTAACAGTTCAATATTTCGCGACCATGAACTCAAATGAATTACAGTGGTTTGTCAATATTTTATGGTGAGAAAGATCAATCACACACAATATTTTTAAAAGCTGTCAACGATATTAAATTTCATTGTGAAATTAAATCAATTATTTTTATCGGAATAATTGTATTCTTCATCAAAAAGAGATGATTACTGATCACAACATGCGGAAATATGAAGGAAATTCTACATGAAATGTCTGTTTAAATGTTAAAATATTTATTTTAAATATGGTGAGTCACGACAGAATTAATTTATAATTCAAATTCATTTGGTAAGATACTTCGATCCTTTGCAGTGTGTTAACTTTTGTATTAATTATTCATTTTATTTTGTATGCATTAATCTAAATAAGTATCTAGTATAATAGTATCTAAATAAGACGATAACAAAACAAATGTGCAATATTAGACGAAAAGCAAACACTTCCATGTTATCGATTTCCTTCTTGAAGAAAGTGGGTGGTGATTATTTAACGTAAGATGCATTAAATTATTAATATTTGATGAGGCCCAGATTAATGCTGGCCAAATGACCAACATTAAAATTTAATGAAGTGCAATGGTGTATATTTTCGCAAAAATTGACATTTTTGTTACAGTAATGTAGACTTAATTATAGCGTTTAAGATGTGCATGCGCTGAAGCTTACAAAATACATTATTATTAATGTACACTGCAACTGGTGGGTCTAAATTATTGTTTTCCCTTACAATTTAAACGAAAAAAGATGAAGCCAGTAGAATGTTAAGAATTGGATTCAACTGGAACGATACATTTATGTTTGATTATAGTATTATCAACCTACAAAAGTCCACTTCAAATGCGTCATTTATTGCGTTGCTATTGATACACTTCATTCTTCTAATGCAAATTAATGTGACGGAATTGAAATGTATTGATTTACATAGAATTTACATACAAAACCGTCTGTCACATTTGCCTTCTATTTTTAAAATTATGTAAATTTGAAAGAAATGTGTGCCATTTAATTTCAATTAAATGTCATTTGCACAATTTGTTGGTACCAAAATAGTCTGCGCAGTAAACAAAGCACTATTTCTTTTTTTGATTATGCATTGATGATACCTATGTATGGGAAGTTGTAATCTCAGTTTTGTCATTTTGTAATTTCCCCAAAACTGTTCAGTAAAAAAATGAAAGCGTCGAGCAATGATATGGTTACCATCTTGCCAACACTACGACGCGACTTTTACCGTCATCGTTTATAGTTACTGAAATGTGCTACATTTTTAAGTAATGATGACTTCAATGTGGATTATATATATATATTATTGGATTGTATATTATATATATTAGTGTATTAATGCATTAGTGTACCTGTGTAGTACTAGGCTACTTGACATGACAGCGCTCACTGGCGCCACTTCCATCAGCCGCATCTCTGAGCGCAGTCAAGAGCGCACATCCATGCTGCTGACAGCTTCAAGTACATCTACACTGAGGCAGCACTCTCATCAAACATGACAAGAATTTAGCCCCGCTTCATTTGCACGTAACTAATTTTGATATATTCACAACTATATTATCATTTTAAAAATGAAAACAGAAATCAGAAGCATCAGATTTTTGATTTAGCTCAGAATGAGCTTTATTGGCAGGTATGTTTACACATACTAGGAATTTGTTTTCGTGACAGAAGCTTCCACAGTGTAACAGCATGACAGTGACAGAACAAAAAACACAGATAATAAAAAAAATTAAACAAAAAAAAAATAGAACAAGTAAATAAGGAATAAAAATATATACATTGACAACTGTATGTGCAGGTATATTACAATAGACAGTTTTGTATGTACAGGTATATTATGTGCAAATTTGAGGTGTAGACTGAGTATGAGTGTTAGATAAATAAGTGTATGAGTGTATAAATAGTGTGTGTTCCACAGTTATTGTTAAGTGTTCATGAGATGGATTGCCTGAGGGAAGAAACTGTTCCTGTGTCTGGTCGTTCTGGTGCTCAGTGCTCTGTAGCGTCGACCAGATGGCAATAGCTCACTGTCCATCTGAAAAAATATATAACAGAGACAGACATTTAAGCTTCTTGTATGTTTTAGAGTTTATTTTTGAGATATGTTAGTGAAAGGTGATACCTCTAATGAATGCTCATTGATTTCAAAAGTATCTCATGCAGTCCTTATGATCTTGAATCTTTGTATGTTAAAATGTAACATTTGTAGTCCTATACTGCCACAGAATTACAGTTCTCAGTTTTGTAATAAGGGAAATGGGCTTTTACTTTCGGAGGACAGAATGTTAGGTTCACTGTCTTTAACCTCTGAAATAGATGGATGAACTTCTTAATGCATTATGTCAAAGGGGAAGGGACCGGGCATTTTTTTGGCCTGTATTGTTAAAAAGGAAATAAGAGAACAAGCACACACTTTAATACCAAAGGAAAAACTGTACAATACCCCATAAAACTTTTAAGTACATCTAAAATAAGCAAGCATCAAAAAGCTTTCATTCTCCAAACATGGTTTCTATTTATCTTTAATATGATTTAAAATTACGGTATAAAGCTAAGATAGCTTCTTAATGGAGTATGCAAGCTAAAGTATGGGCTCTTTTAAATTTTTAAGGTGCAGCGCTAAGGTGAGACAGAATATGTTTGCTGGAAGAATTAGTTTGGTGTTCAGAAGTGGAATGATGACCAAGCACCAGTTAACAAATGTCCAGATCAGTTGCTGAGGTGCTGAGGGACGGGACATCCATTAACTTGTTGTGTCTCCCATACTAATGACTTGTTTTACTGGATAATGTGTCTGTCAGAACAATTATTTGATAAATTGCCCATCGTTATAATATTTCTTACAATCGAGAAAGAAACAAAACGCTTTTGCAATGAGAGATTAACTTGACTAATGTCAACCTGGTCAAATTAATCTGCAAGTGAATAAGCCAAATTATTAAACTGGTTGTTTGCCACTACACCGAATTTAAGAAGTCAAAACAAGACTATGTTATGACTCTTTTCAGGCATCTTTCATTATATAAGAACAATGTTCCTTAATGAGGTTATTAAATCATTATCACAGCTAATCAATACTAATGAAGTTCCCTGCTGTACATGTATAGGATGTATATTATGAGCGCTGTTTGTAATGTAATATAATGCAATTTGTGTGTGCAATAACTTGGCAAAGCTGTATCATTAAATATTCAGGTCAATTTAGCCACTGTGTACTTTGGTATTAACTATTAGCCATTATAATTATTATTATTCCTTAACAATTATAACTAGTAGCCATTGCATCCATTCTCATGCTGTTGGACAATTTTCAGGCTCAATCTAATATAACGACACAAATTACAAAGTAGTAAATGTCGCCCCTCATGATGCTTACTGCCGGAGGCGGCTTGTGATGGCTACGCAGGACAGATCGCTCACAGGTTGAATTGGAGTACAGATTTATTGTCTGAATCCCCACTCCCACTAACACATGGGAAGACTCAATTGATACTCCAGGCACCATGTGGATTCACTCTGCGGTCTAATAGTGGACTTGACACCCATGACAGCGGAAGCTGCTCCTCCCCTGTAGCCACTGGATGGTGTGTCAGTCCTCTCGAGTGCGGGTGCATCCTGTCGCCTGTTTTATTTAGGGGAGGCGGGTGAAGCCGGCCTCACTTCCCTTTTCCATCCTGAACGCAGGAGCCCAGCTGGGACCTGTTTACTTCACAGAGATGGATGGACTCATCCCACCAGCTACTGGTCATTACGTGTGAGATCAACACTATTGCCTCCCCTCCCAAGCTCCACAGACCAAACAGAGAAAAAAACTCTCCTCTAGAAGCCAGTCTGTTCTATTAGCTGCTAGATTGCCAAAGCAAATATCCATATATCCAGTAACTAAGGATATAATGATTATAAAAACATCAGACGTCTCCCTCCTGTTTGTTTTGAACTGTTTCATAGATCATTATTGCATCAACAGATGAAAATGTAGCCTACTTAAAGGCATAGTTCACCAAAAAATGGGATTTACTTGCACTCATGTTGTTCTGAATCTCTATGACTTTCTTTATTCTGAAAAATTTCTAAATATTTTTTCATTCCTATAATGAAAGTCAGTGGGGTCCAATGTTGTGTTGGACTCCACTGACTTTCATTGTATGATCTATAACATTAGTCCATATATTTTTTCCCAAAAAATATTTTCATTTGACAAAACATTTCCATTCATTTTGGGGTGAATTATCCCTTTAAACACATTTTTTTGTAAAATAAAGGACAATAAAACAAGAATGAATCATAGATAATAGGTGACGAAAAAGCAGAAAATGAGAAGAAAAAGAAATGAGGATGAGAAAAGCAAGTGGGAAAAGAATAGATAATAATCCAGCAATTTTACAATAAGCAGAAAGCAGTCATTAATCAAAATTACATATTATATGTGACCTAATTTTTCTTT